TTCTTATGCTTCTGAAAGTTGTACAAAGAAAAAAGAATGACAGAAGTATCAATGCCCTTGAATTGTGTTGAAGAAGAGTGCCGAATATTTCATGAACTACCAAAATAACCAAGTATGTCTTGGAGGAATTGCAACCAGGGTGTTCCTGAGAGGAGATGGTGAAACCTCATTTTACATACTTAAAAAATTTTTTTTTACTTTATTCTGATTTATTTACAGTTTGAATACATTGTTTTTCACAAAAGATCCTTCCCATTTCATTCACACCACCCAATTCATTGAATTGGGCATGTTGTAAGGAAAGAATGGTGTTTATAAAAAGACACCATGGTAGCAAAGGTGGAAGATCAGAGAAGAATTCCCTCAACAAGACTGATACATGCAGCCACTATTAATGATAGACTCAAGTATATAAAAAATTGTAAGGATGATGCAGGACAGGGCAAAGTTCAGTTCTGTTGTTCTAGGTTCACTATGATTCATCACCTCAGTGGCTCTAACAACAGCAAAAGAAGTGTACAAATACACTCCCCTAAGTGGAGCTCCTCAGAGAATAAACCATAGGAGACTACTATTAGTCATACTTAAATTCTCTAAACTTGACAGTTAAAATGATAACCATTCCTTCCATAGCTCTTAATTATTTCTTTCTAGTATAGCTTTAGGGAGCTCTGCTGGTTTAGTGGTAAGGAATTGCACTGCCAATGAAATAGCATGAGCTAATCCGCCAGCTAATCCATGAGAGACAGAAGGGCAATGCTCTCTCTTGAGAGTTACTGCCTCTGAACACGTGATGCAGGGTCAGCTCTAGGTTAGTTTCTACTTGGATGTACAGAACAAGTATAGATCTTACTGATCTATAGAGAATTGTTAATCTAAAGAAAATTGCATACTCTTCAGAAGTATTTGCATAATGGAAAACAAATTAGTGGAATTTTTTTCTGTCATACTGACATAACTTTATGTCATTAATCCTTAAGTTCATTCTAAATTCCTGCTCCCAATATATGTTCAAAGATAATAATTGTCTTAAGGTATTGGAAGCTGAAGTTCATTTGTGAATATATATATATAATTTACCCCTTTTTTTAAAAAAAATACCTGTGAGTTAGTGAAATTATATGAAACATTTATTTAGGACATAATGAGAACTACTTCATGACTCAATGATTGGTGTATCTCCTAAACTGAAAACTGTTAGCCAGCTGTGTGACTTAAGAGGAAACATTTCTAATGTTAATGAATTTAATTTTATATCTTTTGACCTCTTTGACTCCCAAGAAAGCTTATATACACCGGAGACTCTTCAGGTCCAAGAATAAGAATTTAGTTTGTTTTGTGATATGTAATCATACATTGCCCTGAGATTTCAGAGAGATGTAGCATTTCCATTTGGAATTTATTATGCTCCAGTAGTAAAATGCTGTATTTCAATTTTCTTACATACTTGGTTCTAAGCACCACATTTATTTGTTTAAAGATTGGGTCCCAAAAAGTCAAACCTAGACAATGATATCCTGAGTTTCACCAGCACAATTTAATTCAATACAATACCATTAAAACATTATATATGAGTTGCAAATTTTAAGCATAATTTGATATAATATTTTGACAGACAAAAATATATGTTTCAGAACCATTATATACATTTCTTTGTTTGGTAGCAAACTTGCAATAAATCATACATTATTCCAGAGTAATTTTTCTTTATGGTTAATACATTTTGTGATTGAAGTGTAGTACTAATTCATTATTTTCCAGGAAAAGAAAAAGCCAATATCCATTGTATTAGATTCACTTATTTCAAGTTTACATTCATTTAATATTCATGTAAAATTCATTACTTCTGAAGATAACAATGAAGTTGGATTTAGACACTGAATGTTTGCAAGCTTATTGGTGACACTTCAATCTAGCTCGAAGCTTGATATTTTGACCGTTTGACAAAAAAAATAAAATTTTCCAAGACATATGTTACAATCACTGTAAAAATATGAAAATAAAATATATGATTGATTTCAACTTTTTATCTACAAATATTACCTCCAGGGACCAATACAGTCAATATCTAAAATGTTCTATTTTGATTGAAGAAAATTTGGAAAACCAGGTCCATAGAACAAAGATGGAAGATTATAAAGCAATTTACATTAAATATGATGTCAAAATGGAGCAGAGTGATGGGTTGCCATTGTTTGGAATGGACTCAATAGTAGTTGGTTTTGGTTTAAGAGTGTAGACTATCATTTCCTATATTGCACAACTTCACTCCTGGAAACTGGGAGAATTGTGTGCATAAATACAACACACGCACACACACATACATAAAACCCTTTAAGATAATTGTTTCATTTATTTTTATCTTCGGTTTTTTTAAAAAAAATCATTTTGCTAATATTTAGCATATGTTTTTATGGATTTATACTAGTTTTTATATATCTACTTTGAGTATGAATGGGGAATATAGATTAGATAAAAATAGAGCTTTATTCATTAGCTTAAATTATTTAAATTATCCAGTTTTTAATATTTTAGGTAGGGTAAATGCTTCTATATCTCTGTTCTACAAAATTAATAGATGGAAGAAATTGTCATTTAATATTTCTTCTTTTCATATATATTATATGTATATAATATATATTTTGAAAATTGTCACCCAATAAAATGCTAACATATAATATCTTTAAAGACAATATGCTTCTCTGTTGTACTTTATTAAAATATGGATGGTGCATTTCCATGGAAACATGTGCCTCAATAGGTTGAAAGAAATAGTAGAGAAAGCAGAATTTTCAGCTAGTGTAATAGAAAACACAATCTTGCTGAACTATTTTATTTTCCAGGGAATATAATCCCCACCAAATTATTACTTTTACATTAAAAATGTTTGGATAGTTATAACTTTCCATTGAATTTTTTTTTCTTTCTGATCCTGAATTTTCTCTCAATCCATGTCTGATAATTTAGGGACTCTCAAACTGCCTGGTTCCAGAAATGTGCTCCTTCCAAGTGCTCTGTAGGCTACTAGGCATAGAGCAGATTCTGAACTAAAAGCTGAATTTCTACTTTTACTTAAGTGTTTAAAACCTAGTATGAAATATTATACTCAATGAATGTAATGCCAAATTTATCATAAAATTTTGATAAATAATTGAAAATTTGGGGATAGTCTTACAACTAAATTTTTCAAATTGCTTATTTAAAGAAAAGGAGAGACAGAGAAACTCCAATGAAATAATTATTTAAAATTCTACAAATGTAATTTATTTAAGTAAGTTAGGGGATACATTCTTTATGCTTTGGTATAATTTCAACTAGGATCTGAACAGAATTCTTACTTCAAATACACAATATTTTATTATTAGTGAGGAACAAAAAATGTACTTTTTTCTATAAATGACATTCCAAAAAATATTTTTTGAAGTGCTTTAGCTTGATTTGTTAAACCTGGATTTCTTTATTGAGTCAAATTTTTAGATAACTTCTCATCTTATTCACTTTGCTCTTGTAGATATAACTCTATTTCTATGATGTGGCTGGTAGGAAAGCATTTAAAATTCTAAAATGGATATATGCCATTACATATACATTTTTTCATATATACATCTATTTTTTAAACTCCAGAAAAGGAGCAAACTAATACTTAATGACCAATCTCATGAAGTTATATATAAACACCAAATGTGATATTGATGGCTTCTTTCCTGTAGGATTTATTTCCACTTTCTGCTTTCTTCAGCATTTTAAAATTTACTACATTATTTTTGTAGTGGCGATTTGTCAAATCCCTAAGACATACTATTGTGAAAAAGCACACGCAGTGAATATCCTAGAGAAAAATCCCTTAACAGTTAAATGATCCCTACTGATGAATATTCAAATATAAATTGAGTTTGCTTTTCTAATTTCACTATCATAAGTGGGAACTTCTAGTAATCAATATTCAATGAAAAATTTTTAGATTAATCAATTTGTATCTCACTAGCCTTAATTAATGCTATATAGCCTGATATATAGCTCAATTTAACTTTCAACACTAATTTAGATTGTAGGTCAATGCATTAATTATTTTCCTTGGTACAAAACTTCAAATATTTTAAACAAAGATAAATATCTACTGTCCTATGCCTTTCTGCTTAATGATCATCTTATTTATTGCTTTAATGTTGCCTAGTAATACTGGAAAAAGACATCATGCTTGGAAAAGTGGAGGGTCAGCAAAGGAGAAGACTTTTGATAAGATGGATTGATATAGTGACTGAAACAATTTTTAGAGGCTAAGGATGCCACAGGATAAAATAGGTTTTGTTATGTTGTACATAGGGTTGCTATGAGTTGGAGCTGATCTGATGGCATCTAACAACTAGAACAAGTAATCCTTCTATATATTAAGCACTCTTCTACATAAATGTAGTCATTGTAGACAATTTTTAAAACAAAACAAACTATAGTGCTCATATACAAAGACTGATTCAGTCTTCCTATCTCCTTGCACATTAAGAAATGTAGACTTTTTTTTGTTTGTGTTTCCTGTGCTCAGAATAATGCATGTCACTACAGAAAAGAGTAAGAGATTGCATATTTAGCAGGTGTATTAGTTTAGAACATGAAAGGAAGGATTAATAACAATGCTCAGAAAAATTGGCTGGTTAATTTATTGCATCAATCATAAATACGATGATGAGTTATTCTCACAGTCTTAGTGCAGGGAGTAAGCAAGTCTCACCAATACACAAGATTTTGAACAAGATGATGGAATTCTCTCTCGCTCATTTTTAAAATGCTCTGACACTTAATCTACTTCCCTTTTAACAAATAAATGTAAATATTCTTTTTGGCCACAGATTGTTTAAGGGGAAACTCTATTCATTCTTGTATACTAACAAATCTATCTAGCATCAAAATCAAAACTACTGTGATTGAGAAAGGGATGCTTCTGCAGGTGTTTCCTTTAGCTTGGCTTGTATTTGTGCAATTGCACTTAGAATTTCACCCTCCTAAACCTTGCATATATACATATTAATATATACTTAAATGCTGAAAACCATCTTTCCAGGACTACCTTAGTATAGCACTTTGTCTGAGAAAGCAGTATTTTATTTAGTGTCATTGCAAATTGTCTTCAGTCCCCGACCCTTCTGGACTGGAATCATTGTCAAGGAGGGCGTCTTTATTGGTGAAAGTTGAGCTGAGAGTTAAGCTCTGTCGAGGCTTCACAGGTGCAAGTTCATCTAATTTAATATTCTCATTTTTGACCAGAATTGTCTTATCCATGTTTTCTTCACTGTGTCTTGCAACAACAGCATCAAACACATCTAATTTTGGTGGCAAGGTTCCACTTTCAAATAAGTATTTGGCTAGATATGAAATGCATATATTGGCTAAGAATGAACTGACCATTGCAATTGTTTTAAATGGGAAACGCTGATTATATATACCATACTTATCAGTGTAATAACCAGGGTAAAAGATCAAAGGCTGAAGGTGTAGATATGGCTCTCCTCCAGTTATTCTCAAGAAAAGGCCAGAAACATAACCTGCCACGGCCCCGTAGGTGTTGGTTCCCTTGACGAAGAGCACACAGAGTAGTTGTGGGAAGATGATGATGTAAACAAGATCTGAACTGAGGTACCAGAGTCCATACACAGTCTTCGTTAGCAAGGCCATAGCAGTTGCAGAAGCTCCAAACACAAGCACAGTGATTCTCATGACCCAAACAATTTCTTTGTCTGATGCCTGTAAGAAATCACCATAGTGTCAGTTCTCAGACAATTTATATAGGCTTATTTAGGCAATCCATTGTTTTTGAAATTACTTGTTATGCATCAGAAAGCTGAAAAATGACTAGGGATGTTAGAAAGAGAATTGATGCCTTTGAGTTGTGGTTCTGGGGAAGAGTAATGAATATATCGCGGATTGCTAGGAGAACAAACAGGTTCATCCTACAGAGGGTGAAACCAGGTTGCTCTTTGGAGGCAGGGATTCTTAAACATTGTCTGACATACTTTGGACATGTTGCAAGGGTGACCAGTCCTTGGAGAGGGACATCATGCATGGGAAGGTGGAGGAACAGTGCAAGAGAGGAAGACCCTTGATGAGATGGATTGATTCAGTGACTGGGATAATGGAAATACATGGGTCAGAGATGGTAAGGTTGGCATAGGATAGAGCAGGGTTCAGACATGTTGTATATGAGGTTGATTTGAGTCACAAGCAACTCGACGGCAAATAACAACAACAACAATAATAATAATTTAGGCAAAGAGTGAAGTAGGATGTTGTGTTTTAAAACTGATTCAAAGAATTCCCTTGGTGGGTACAAATTAACTTACACAATAGCCTTCAAAATTAAACAATCTATGTGGTCTCCAATGTGTGCCTTTGGAAATTTACGTGAACCACATGGAGAAAGTCTAGAACACCAGAGTTCCCTAAATGTGCAGGGGGAGGTGAAAAATCAGCTAACATGGTTTCATGGAGCAAGGCTTACTTATGTTCACTAATCTTTAGTGAACAACTTCACAATTTCCCACCACATTACAGATTCTGCTTCTATCTATGGAATCTGTCTCTCTTCTGACCTCATACACCTGCCTACAGAAGCAAAGCATTTTTTCAAATGTACAATTAGTAATAGGAACAGCTTACCCAGTAAACAAGTAATCACCGGTAAACTCATTTTACTAATCTGTAGTTACTACTCTTTACTTACCTATTTTCTAATCTATATTTATTAGTCTATAGTAAACAATTTCATGTATGTAAATGTTGGTTTATTTGTGCTTGCTTGTTAATCTGTAGTGAAGAATTTACATGTATTTCATGTGATTTAATAAAAAAAAATGAAACGCTTCTTCATTGCTGCTTAGTAAGTAAATGCAAGTAATCCTGTGTTTACCTTGATTATTGGATAATCACAGAGATAAAACAAAGGAAGATTACTCTTATTTTACATATTAGAAAGTAGTGTTTCTCTAACCATGACAGAGCATGGACTGTTCTTACTTCCTCTTTCTGTGGAGCCTTACAATACTTAAAGTTAATTATTGTCTGAAATCCTGGTAGAGGACTTGTTTAAAAAGAGTTTCCATCATAATCGTTGACCCAATTAAGATCATTTTGTTAATCAGGACCTAGGCAACCTAGAGGGGAGCAAAATCACAGTCAAAGAAAGATGGAGGGACTATAAGCTCCTAAATGATCATAATAATAATTCACCCAATTGACTCAATAAGGAAAATTAGAAGGGTGGAGTATTTTCTAATAAAGGTAGGTTTGGGAGCTCAAGTAAAGAGCTGAACAAATACTTTAAAAATACAGGTGAAATAACTTGTTTATCATGTACTGATTTTATTTGCATTCTCAAGTTTCCTATTTAACTAAATGAACTTTTTGTTATAATTTTCAGATTTTAGTAATTAAACTTATTCTGAGTAACTGAGATGTTTAAGAGTTAATCTTTCATCATAAAGCAAAGATTGAAAATGTGGCAATATGACTTATTTCTGAAAATAATGATATAAACTCTTCAGCATTAACTTCAGTAACTACATACACTGGTAATGCTCATTTTTATTATTACTAATATTTTGATTAGTTAGTCTTTTATGTTTAAAGTAGTATCCAATTTCACATGAAAATGAACAGTGTGTAGTTATACATAAACAATAAATAGAACAACAGCAATAGTAAAGTAGAAATTTTAAAAGACTGTTCTTACATTTTGTCTGAATGAAAGCTGGTAGATGTTTCGAGCAAACATTGAACTTGCTGACAAGATAGAAGAATCTGCTGATGACATAACAGCAGCAGAAACTGCCCCAAGACCAAAGAAAGAAATGTACACAGGGCAGAGATACTGTAGAACAATTGGTAAAATCATGTCTGCTTCTTCCTTAGCTATGGGATCTGGAAACCCATATGTAGTCTTGTTCCAGTCTGTTGAAGAAAACAATCACAACAAATAACCAAAATTGTCATTTATTCTCTGTCTTTACCTATGTTATTCTATTTACTATGTAGCCTTTCAAACAAATTCAAAATTATAAACATTTCTATCATGAAGTAGAGAGTACTTGCAATGCTCAAACTGAATTATATATTATATCATATGTTATATATTCTTCCAGTAGACATCGGTTAAACTTAGTCTTAATTCACAAACCTACACAGCCTATAATATATATGTATATAAAATTCCTACAAATACACAAATATGTAGTGTTACAGTGGCATGAAGTGTAGAATCAGAAAGTAAATATTCTTAAGTTGAATGATATTTTTCTTACATTTTGGAAATTTGAAAAGACACTTTTCATTCTATGTTACTCAGCTATTCAGTAATTGCTTTGTGCAGCCACATTCTTGTATATAAACTTGTAAATCTGATTTAATATCTTTATATCTCTCATTCTAAAGACTCCTTGCACAGAATTCCCCTTACTAGAAATGGGAAACATCCTTAATCGATGGCAGAATATTTTATTGAATAGTAAATGCAGGCAGGCATGAAGGTGAAATAGGGTGAAGACTTTGAACAGATATTTCACTGAAGAAGATACTCAAGTGGCAAATAAACAGATGAGTAAATGTTCTTGTAAATGATCCATTCTCTACTAGCTCAATCATTGCCATTGAGTCAGAATTAACTCATAAATTGACCCTGCAGTGGCATTTCAGAGGTTACAAATTGCACAAAAGGATTTAAATTATCCATTAGAGATGTGCAAACAAACCAGCATAATGTGATATTATATCACCTCAATAATAATAGTTGCTGTATACTGGCAAGTTGGAACTGACCCATAGCTGACTCTCCAGAAGCAGTTGCAGGGAAGGAGATTGTCTATCACAGGAACATGGAGACAGCCTAGATGTTCAATCACAAACCAATGGATTGAGAAGTTGTAGTACATTCATACAATGGAATACTATGCAACACACAGAAGCAATCATTTTGTAAATTATTACCTAACTGGGGAGGGACTGGAGAGCGTTATGCTGAATGAACTAAAGCAGTCCCACAAGGATAAATATTGTATAAGATCGTTATTGTAGAAGGAGTATAAGGAGATCCAGGAGGGGTGCTATAAAATCGTTCAATATTGCAAATCAAGACTTGATTTTCCCCTCCTTTTGTTCTTTTAAAGTGAGAAATATGGCTTCTTACTGGTTTTCCTACTTACCGGTTTTCTCACTCCATTTATTTCTACATATGTCAATATTTTCCTCTTTCTTCTGGATCCACTTTTTGAAATCTCTTGAGCTCTTTTAGTCATTATTTTTCATTTGTTTTAGTTGCTCGTTGTTCAAAAGCAAGTTTTAGAGTCTCTTCTGACATCTATTTTGATTTTTCATTTCTTTATTTTCTTTTTTATGACCTTTTTCTTTCTTGCATGATGTCTTTGATGTCACCCCATAACTCATCTGGTTTTCAGCCATAAGTGTACATTGAATCAAATCTATTCTATGATGATCTTTAGATTCATGTGGGGATGGGAAATACTTAACATTATACTTTGTTTTCCTGGGCTGCTTTTATTTGGTTTTCAGCTTTAACTTGTACTTGCATACGAACACTTAATGGTCATCTAAAATCATCTTTGTTCTCACCAATGATACTGAGCTTTTCCACCATGGCTTTCAACAGATGTAACCAATTTGATACTTCTGAATTCCATACAGCATGGTCCACATGTAAAGTTTTGCTTATGTTGGTGAAAAAAGACATTTACAAGGAATAAAATTATTGATTTTGTAAAAGTCTATAGGATTTCTGGTGTAATTTCTATTAGAAAGACCATGTTTTCCAACTACTGATCCTTCAATTTTTTTACATCTTAATCATCAATAATTATCAATACACATTTGATTAGTTTTAGACTACAAAAGTTGATAAATAATTTAAATATCTTCCTTCTGGCAATAGTGATTGCTGCATACATTTGAATAATAATTGTATTAACTGGTCTTCCTTGTAAGTGTTTGGATATTATCCTATAACTGATAGCTGTACTTTAGGAGATATTGAAATGCTCCATTCTCCTTCATTTTGTTGTTCTCAACAGAGTAGACCATGAATTTGTCCAATTACAATGAATAATGCCAGTATAGTTCTGTTCACTAACATCTAGGACATCGATCTTTAATATTTTTATGTCTTCCAATTTTCCTATAGCTGTACCAATTACTAAGAGATGTTTTCAGCTCTTTGCCCTCAGTTTGAATTATGTCATATCAATTAGCAAATGAAGGTCCTGAAAATGTTTAAGGTTGACCCAACTTTGAGGAAGTAGCTCTTTCCTCATTATATTTTGAGTGCCTTGTAACATGAAGGGTTCATCTTCTGGTACTATATCAGACAATGTTCAAAAGTTTTCATTGGTCATATTTTTTTAAAGTAGATTACCAGGTTCTTCTTCCTAGTTTATCTTCGTCTGAAGGATCCACTAAATTCTGTCCAATTTATATGACCCTTCTGAGATCTGAAATATGCGTGGCTTTAGTTCACAGCATCACAGCCATGCAATCTACCATGGTATGACAAGTTGATCGTCAAGTGGTGAAAGTTTATTTTTATCCATTTTAATTAGTACCACCCACAAGACTCCATTAAATTTTGGTCAACCTTCTTGGTACCAGCAGCCAAGAAATCAAGAGACAAATTGCATTGGGAAAGTCTGCTGTCAGGGACCCCTCCAGAGTACTGAAGAGCAATGACATCAGGCTAGAGACTAAGGTGCACCTCATCTGGGCTATAGTCTTTGCAATTACGTGCTATGCATTAGAGATTTGGACAGTGACTAGGGATGATAAAAAGGGAATTGATTGATGCCTTTGACCTGTGGTGCTAGAGAAGAGTGTTGAATATACCACAGACTGCTAGAAACAAACGGATTTGTCCTGGAAAGGGTGAAGCTGGTCTGCTCCTTGGAGTCAAGGTTTCTGAAGCTTCATCTGACATACTTTAGGCATGTTGCAAGGAGGAACTGGTCCTTGGAGAGGAACATCATGTTTGGAAGAGTGGAGGGGTGACTCAGGAGAGGAAGCCCCTTGATGTGATGGATCGATTCTGTGATTGGGGTGATGGGAGTGTGTCGGAGCCAGTGAGGTTGGCACAGGATAGAGCAGGGGTTAAGGCTCTTGTACATAGGGTTGCTATGAGTCGTGAGCAACTCAACGTTACATAACACCAACAACAATGTGATATCTTTTTAGCAAATGCTCATGTGAGTTGCACAGTGTGGAGACATAAAGATAAGTAACCACGTTGTTATTAAGTGCCATCAAATATGATTCACGAATAATAGATCTGAACTCTGTTCTACCCTGCAACCATTCTCATAATGCCTGACACATTTGAGTCCATTGATGCAGGCACTGCATCAGTCCATCTCATTGAGGATATGCCTCTCTTTCCTTGGTCCTTCACCTTTCTAAGTGTGATGTCCTCTTCCAACAACATGTTCAAAATATGTGAGATGAAGCATCACCAACATTGCCTCCATGGAACATTGTGGTTGCACTCTCTCCAATACCTATTTGTTAGTTCTTTTGGCAGCCCATGGAAATTCTGCACTATTCTCCAATACAACTCAGTTGCATTGATTCTCCTGTCATCCTTACTCATTGTCCAGCTCTCAAGTGCATTAAATTTAATCTAATAAGTGCTGGTTTTGGTTGTTGATTTTTTTTTCCCCCTAATGTTCTCCATGGAGGTAAATAAGGATACTGTAAGTTAAAACATTCACTCACTCATTACTGGAGAGAGTTGACCTTCCAGCAGGTTTTCAGAGGCTATAAATCTCAACGGAGGAGTTTGCCCATATTTCTCTCATGAAGCAGTTGGAAGATTTGGCCTGCCTTTGAATTAACAGCATAATTCCTTACTGCTAGGCTACCAGAGCTCTCTGTAAGTTAGATTTTTTGCTGTTGTGTACCTTCGAGTTGGAACCGACCCATTGCTGACCTTCAGGTAGGTTTTTATAGGCAGTTAATTATGTGGCAGGAGACTGCCCATACTTCCATGAGCAGGTGATAGATTCAAACTGTGTGCCTTGGGAATCACAGTGCAGCTTCTTGTCACTAGGCCACCAGAGCTCCCTATGTATATGAGTTACATAGGCCTTGTTTAACTTTTTCTTAAACACTATGGTGAAGTCTGTTGGCCTAATCTGGAGGGATTTTTGCTGCTAACCTAAAGGCCACACCTCTTTGGTGGTTCAAGTGAACTACTCTGCAGGAAGAATGTAGGCAAACTCTTTCTGTGTGATTTACAGCCTTGAAAACCCAATGGAAGGTCAGCTATATCGTGCTTCTGATTCTGTAGCAATGACCATGGGCTATGAATGAGTTGGCTTATTTTTCCAAGAAGGAAAATTCTAACTAACAAACCATTGAAAACATGAAGCAGAAAAAAAGAAAATATAAAGCAATGTTTAAAGTTCAAATGGTCCTCCAAGGATGTGGTGGGAAAAGAACTATTTTACATTGTTGGTGGAATTATAAAATGGTACAACCATTCTGGAAGGCAGTTTGGCACTTCCTCAAAAAGCTGAACATAGAAGTTCCATTGACTCAACTATTCCACTACTTGGAATACACCCTGAGAAAATGAGAACTGAGGCACAAACAGATACTTGTACATCGATGTTCATAGTAGCATTGTTCACCTTTGCAAGAACATGGAAACTGCCCAGATGTCCAACCACAAATGAATAGATGGGAAAATTATAGTATATTCACACAGTGGAATACTACACAGTATGCAGGAGCAATGATTTTGTAAATTGTTACCTAACTTGGGAGGGACTGAAGAGTATTATGCTGAGTAAATTAACTCAGTTCCACAAGGATAAATATTGTATAAAACCATTATTGGAGGATGAATATAAAGATATAGGGGTTGGGGGTGGGAAGGTGGAAGCAGAAGGATGAGGATGTGCAGGGGAGGGGAGATTAATCATGGGGTTGTACAATTTGATAAGTGTTGGGGTGGTGAGGGGAATTGGAAGAATCTGTTCTGGAAAATAATGCATTAGAATTTTGTAAATAAACTTGTATAATAATATTTTTTTAAAAAAAGAATGAAAAAAGGAATGCAAGGAGAGTGATATTTGCACAGGACCCCAATAGAAGGGTGGAACCAATATTGACACAACTGAGAATTTTGTTGGACAATTATGGGGAAAGCCAATATTAGCAGGACTGAGAATTTGGGAATACTTAGTACCATGAGGCTTGAGGCTGAGGTGCCTGCATGCACATTCTGGGAACTGTCTGTCTTGACTGTATTTATAACCTTTTAACTCTTAAAAAAAATGGTCCTCTAGTGGCCATAGTCAAGATATATATGTTTCTTCTAAACAAAAGACTCTTAACTCTTTCTGCATTTGGATTCATCAAGGGAGTATCTTAAAAAACAAAACAAAACAAACACCAGATTCATATCTAGCTCTATCTCAGACCAAGTAAATAATGCCTGGTGTTTAGACAAGAAGTTGATATTCTTTTTTAAGATGTCTCCTTCCTCTTCTTTTGGTGACTTTCATATTCTACCTCTGTTTAGAACCATATACCTATATTTGGGGTGTGTATTCATAAACATTTTCTTGATGGAGTTTGTTTCTCTGTATTGTAGAGTCACAACCAACTCATAGCTGACTCCCCGGCTTTCAGAGGCAATAAATCGTATGTGAAGAAAGTCTCAAATGGAGCAGCTTTGAACCATGTGTCTTTGGGATTACAGCACAGCTTTTTACTCCTAGGCCACCAGATTGATAGAGTAGCAGTCCCCAAAATATTGGAGATCACTGAATTATAAGACATTTTGCTGAGTGCTCTACCAAATGTATATGTGGGAATACATGCGTGTTATGGGGAGACAGAGATACTAATGGTAATGGCACATTAATTAGGCATACAGTGGACCATGAATAGGTCAGTCAATGAAGCTGGAAGGTAATTTACCTGTTGATGCTCCAATGGCTCCGATAAGTATGGCTGGTATAGCCATCACAAGGCACCCAAAAGCTGCCAAGAAGGAAAGCACTTGAGCATATGTGGCTGAGGATGAAGACAGAACCCTCTGGAAATAGGCTTGCCATGGGATTCCTCCAAGTATCTGCGTGGAAATCACAGTATCTACTATAAGTTTTAAAAACTTTTATTAAAGTTTAATATTACCACAATTTGAATAGTAACAAATATCACTCTATAGGAAATAGCCCCCAACCTTCATTTCTTAATTTATATAACTTTGTTATAGTCATATTTATATTTTCACTTAAGTATAACTTCCTCATGTTCTTTCCCTTTACAATTATAGAATAATCTTTTCTGTTGTTTACCTATTTCAAGTTGCAGTAGGACTTCTCATAAACGTTAAATTCATTCTTATCTAGAGATTGTGATCCCCATAAAATATTATGAAAAAAGTATATGAAAGTTTAGTTTTTAAAAACTTTTGAATCAGAACAACTCATTAAGTATTTTTGGATTTTAATTGTCCTGGGTAATATAATGGTTATCAAAACATAATGATGAATAAAGCATGATTCTTTTCCTCATTCTTGTTCTCTAATGGGAAAAATCAATGTACTGTAGTGTGTTCCAAAGTGAGTGTGCAAAATGTTCAAGGAAATATATCGAGGCATCTGAAGAAAATATTAGAAATTCTATTTATACCAATTTTTACTACATCTTTAAATGTCTCAAAATTTATTAGATGATATATAAGCATATAAGTCATTAAAAGATTATTTTATTGCAATTGTGGCTATAACTTTTATCGGAGATATGCACAAGCAAAAAATGGGCAGAAATGAATGAGTGACTTGTATCACAATATTGAAATTTGTCTCTAATTTCTTCTTTCTGCATATGTACCAAGGATAGTGTTTGTCAAATGGTTTTAACATGTTTTCTTTATCATAAAGGCACATACACTCAAATATTTTAAAACAAGTTAGTGTGTTGTAGGAAAAGGACTTTGCAATCTATATTCTGTTTTAGTCCTTAGCTGAGACAATGGTGTGATTATCAATAAATTGTATTGAATGTTCTGATTCTTCTCACATCTTACATCTTTCATCTTTCATATAAATACTTGTCAGGCATATTTTATTATTTTACTGCCTCTCTTTTCAAAGGATTTCCTTGCAAGAAAGAATAATAGTAAACCAAGCATCTTACCAATGAGGAATTAGAGGACTTATTTACTTAACAATTAAGAGATATATTGACTCTGATTTTTTTACAATGTTCACAATTTTTCAGTGAATGAAGAAAAGGATTAATTGTAATGCACGTATTTTATTATGACAGGTATATTCACAGTGAATGCTGAGGTAATGCTAAATTAAATGTGAATAAAAGTAAAATCACAAAATACTGTAAATCTTCTGAAGACGAAACAAAACCAACCAATTTTTCTTTAAATTTTGATATAAAAATTAACCTATTTCTTAGTTTAAAATAAAACGCAGTGTGGTATTTTGCTGTGACACTGAACCTTGTGCCATTGGGGTCTCAAATGCCATAAAGGAACAACTGTGCCATAGGTGTGCCAAACACCATAAAGGCTACCCATCGTGGGCAGTGTTTGATGGAGCTCCCAGATGGATTCAGATTTGGAACCATGTGCCTCTGGAAACTCTATGAATTTTCAGAAATGACAATAGTTAAAGAAAGGCTTCAGGCATTTTGTTTATATATAATACACACACACGCACACGCGCGCGCGCACACACACACACATTCTCTATTATCTATCTATCTATCTATCTATCTATCTATCTATTATCTATCTATCTATCTATCTATCTATCTATCTATCTATCTATCATCTATCTATCATCTATCTATCATCATCATCATCTATCTATCTATCTCCCTTGTATTTAAAAGTTGGTTGGGCCTGAGGGTCTAATAGTCCAGTGTTATTTTGTTTTGGAGAAACATTTTTCTAAGTTGTACAGCACTCCCTTCAATTTGCTGTACTGAGGTAATCTGGGTATGCTGTGATGCTTGAAACTTGTGCCATTGTGGGGGTCAAATGACATAACAGCTGCCCATGGTGCCCATGTAAGCGCTCCCAGTTTAAGACAGGTTTGGAAGCAGGAGTGGCATCCACTTCCTAAACTACATGCCTATGGAAATTCTATTAACTTGGAAAAATGATGATAGTTATAGAAAGGCTTCAGGCCTTTTGTTCATTGTATCACTATGACTCATGCTTGATTGGTCAGCCATCAACAACAATAACTCCTCCAATTAGAGAAAAAGAAAAGAAATATATTAATTGTATTTAGTTTGTCCTTTCCTCCCTCAACATGTAATCTGCCTTTATTATTTTGTACCATCACCTCATGTCAGTGCCTTTGCCCCAAGTATTGCAAGTTCTCAAGCTGCCACTGACTTCCCAAGGCTTCTCTCCTGGCATTTATCCTAGGTGACACTTTTCTTTAAAACTCAGAGTAATTTACTTGATGCACTTAGGACCTTATGATACCACTAATTTGCTTACTCTCATTTGAAACTGAGCGAGTTATTTATTTCAGAAGAAATTGGCTTTTATTGCCTTAATCTAAAAGGAAAAATTAAAGACTTCCAGATAATTTGGTTCTCAGACTGGGGAAGCACATGTAGGGTGTGTTGTTTCTTAACTTAAATCACAACTGAAAAGCTGCCTGCACTTCACACATACTACCATGGCCACTGACCTTCTAAGATCTTATTTGTTCTCTAATTTTTATATTTGTCAGCTGCCATGATTCGTACATGGCTCAACTCTTCCAATATAGGGCAGTTTTCAGAATGGTCTTGATCATTGAGTAGATTAATTTAACGTGTAACTATGAATACCTTAAAAGTGTGTTTGGTTTTGGACTAATTAAAGTGAATTTCTCAAGTGAGAGTATCGCTTACCAGCAACAGAAAACTATCCAGCCATGAGTAGACTTCAAATGATTCAATGGTTCCCAGCCAAGGCTCTTGGTATTTGGCATGGACAGCAGTGAACCCAATGTCGGTAACTGCATTATGTGAAAGTGCAAATGGTACACTAATCCACTGTAACCAGAGAGACAACATGTTAGGAAATTATTTTTAAACATTTAGCTTATATGAGGTTTATAGAATTATTTTTTCACCATAGATCACAATTCCAACAATTCCCCTTGTTAAGAAAGAGAATGTGCATGATACTATGGGATACTGACTTAGAAAAATGAAATGCCAGCTTATGTAATTAATTCTACTCTATCATAAGAAACATAGCAAGTCCCTGTAAACATTTATGGAAGAAAGCATCACATATGAGAATATCTTGTACATTAATTTTTGCTACAGTGTACTTGGACTAGAAGATTTCTAAAAGCCATTATGCAAAGTTATGGTAGAGAAACTTGTGGGTAAAAGAAATCTTCAAAAGAAGTCTCCAGTTGAGAAGTATAAGAAGACATTAAAGAAAGAGATGGTGTAATTAAGCAAAGAGAGTGGAAGGATTTAGGGAGTGTGTTTGTGTGTGTGCACATGTGTGTGAATGTGTTGAATGACAGGATTTGCAGGCATGGAGTGATTTAGAAGTATGGGGAAAAGACAAGATATATGTGGAGAGAATCTTAAATACCAAGATAGGTATTCCATTCTATGTTGTTGTTATTATGTACCACTGAGTCAGAATCAACTCATAGCAAGTAGATTTTCAGAGGCAGAAATTACAAAGGAGGAGATTGCCAGTCTTCATCCTGTCAAGCAGCTTGTAGTTTCTAATGTCTGTCTTTGAATTGGCAGCCTCCTCACCACTAAACCACCAGTGCTTCCTTTTCATTCTTTTGTAGTTGTTGTGCACCTGAGAGTCAGAACTGACCCATAGCTGACCCTCCAGAAGACTTTCAGAGATGGTAAACGGCACAGGAGTTAAGTGCCTACCTTTCTTCTGTGGGCAGCCAGCAAATTCAAATCTTTGTTTTGAGAGTGCAATTTCTTACCACTAAGCTACCAGAGTTCCCTTTTCATTCTGTAGACTAATGGAATTTCTTCCAAGTTTTAACATGATTGATGATCAATAAGAGCAATAAGGTGGTCCCGAATTAACATGGATAGTAAAGACATTAGAAATGGGAACTTAATCGTACTAAAAAGGATAATGAAGGATAATTGGATAGATCTTTGATCCCAACAGGAAAAGAGCAGGCAGAGAGAAAAAAACTAATAAACAAACCAGAGGTTTACAGAGATGGGAAAATGCTGACAAAATCAACCAGCAGAGAACTTGTGAGGAAGGAATTGTTTGAGGTATAAGTTTATGAGTTGATTAGTATGCATGTAAAACAATGTGAAGATTAGAAAACATCATATTTTGTCTTCTGCTCTGCCAATTAAAAATATCCTAAAATTAGTAATCAGTTACTAATAGTATCAAAAAATGTAATATTATTGGATTTTGAAGCAAAACCCATTCTAGCATATATCCTGGGTAAGGAGATATATATATATATATATATATATATATATATATATATATATATATATATATATATATATATATATATATATATATATATATATATATATCTCACTCCTTAAACTAGTATATTTGATTTATGTAGCTGTATATTTTAAATTCTACTCTCATGAAAAGCAATAAGAAATCACATATATCAGCAATAAGTAGATTAATCCCTTGCAATTGTGTTTTTTGAAATACCAGGTACATTAGTTATAAGCCATGTCATTGCCAAATGAACCACATCTGTAATGTTCTGCACAGAGATTTGTTTCTGGTTCTTCATTTTATATTTTATAAGTTTATGTTGATACTAGGAGTAATTCAGAATTTCAGCAGTGTCTTCCTTAAGAGTTAAAAAGTAAAGTCTTTGAAATAATGAAACATTTGCAAATATAATTAAAATGAAGATGAAAAAAATTTGCATAAAATACAAATAAAACATAGAGGATAAAAAGAAGCATTGAAATAATTACAGTTGTTACATGCCGTCTAGATAAGTATGACTCATATCAACCTATGTTCTGTTGTCAGAACAGCAGACCTGAACCCTGCTCTATCCTGGGCCAGCCTCCTCATGTCTGCCACTAGAGACTATTGTTACAGTCACTGTGACAATGCATCTCCTTGACAGTCTTCCTCATTCCTAGTGCATGCAAATTTAGTTCAACCTGAACCAAATTTTCTAAGTCTTTAATTTTTTTCTCTTAGATATTATTGAAATGTTAGAAAGTATAAAATTTAGTATTAGAGACATTTCTTAATTTTTAGGAGCCTTTCATTAAGACAAAAAGAAAAGGAAAGAAAGGGAATGCATGGGTCATTGGAACACTGAATTGTGAACCTTCATTTCAGGAGGTTGAATTTAGTGGCCTTTATACAAGGGCAATGCCCCTATACGATAAAGTAATATATGTGAAATGACCCATGGCAGTCCAATAGAGCAGGCATGCTGTTGTTGTTGTTATGTGCCATCGAGTAGCCTGTGACTCATAGTTACCAACATAGTACAGTGTACCAACATGGTACAACAGCTCTGAACCTCCCCTATTCTGAGCCAGTTTCACTGACTCTGAAACACTCCCACCATTCCCCCAGTTACCGTGTAAGTCTATTTCATTTAAGGTCTTCCTTTCCTGCACTGTCCCTTTACCCTTCCAAACATGATGCCCTTCTCCAAGGACTGGTCTCTCCTGACTACATGCCCAAAAGAATGTGAGATGGAGTTTCATTATCCTTGGCTCCAGGACCAGCTTAGTTTTGTCCTCTCCAAGACAGATCCATTGTTCCCTTGGCAGTCTATGGTATGTTCAAGTCTCTTCTCCAGAACCACAATTCAAAGACGTCAATTCTTTCTGTCATCCTTAGTTATTGTCTATCTCTCTGATGCATTGGAAGTAATTATGATGACCATTGCCTGGATCAGGTGCATTTTGGTTTCTAGACTGACATAATTGCTCTTCAAGTCCTCTGGAGAGCTCCCTGACCACAGATTTTTCCCCATGGAATTTATCTTTTGATTTCCTGACTGCTGGTGCCGAGAGTGTTGATTGTGAAGCAAGCCAAGAATGTTAACAACCTCAATCTCCTCTCCATCTTTCATGGTGCTGCCAATTGGCCCAGTGGTGAGAAACTTTGCCTTCTTGATGTTGAGCTTCAACCCATATTGAAGACTACAGTCCTTGACTTTCTGCAACAAGCGTTTCAGGTCCTTCTCAGTTTCAGCAAGCAAGGTTGTGTCATCTACATAACACAGGTTGTTGATAAGTCTACCTATCCAATCCTGATGCCACATTACTCTTCATAACCAAAAACTTCTTTACCCTTCTGTTGGTATGTTTAGGTTTAATTTTTATGCATAATTATATAATTCATATTTTAAGATGTCAGTTTACAAAGAATCAACAAAGTCTAAGTGTGCCCATGACATATGCAAAGGTTCTATTACTTTAATTATAATAATACTTATTCTTCATAACTAACTATACAGTACATTTTACTTAATAAGATATATACACATATTATCTAATTTATTGGCTTAGTAGCAAGGAGTTGAGCTGTCAACTCAAAGGCAAGCAATTTGAATCCACAAACTTCTTTCAGAAGAAAGAAAGAAATCTCCTCTTATATGATTTATAGCCTCTAAAAAATTCTGGTGGGTTCTGCAGCAAGCACTTCAAGTCTTCCTTACTTTCAGCAAAGTTGTATCATCAACACAATAACAATAATGCCGGTTATTAATGAGTCTTTCTCAGATCCTGATGCCACATTTTTCTTCATAGAATCTAGCTTCTCAAATAATTTGCTTAACATGTAGATTGAATATGTATGGTGAAAGGATACAACTCTGATGCATATCTTTCCCAATTGTAAACCAAGCTGGAAAAGAGTCTTGAACTTACCATGGACCACCAGGAAAACAAATTAAGTTTGTTTTGGAGAGGGCGAAACCAAGTTCTCCTTGGAGGCTAGGATTTTGAAGCTCCAGCTCACATACTTTGGGGACATGGCCAGGAGGGATCAGTCCTTGGAGAAGGACATTACATGTGGATGGGTGGAGGGACAGCACAGGAGAGGAAGATCCCGGATGAGATAGGTTGATATAGTAATTGGGGTAAGAAGGGTGGGTGTTTTAGAGTCAGTGAGACTGGCTCAGAATAGAGCAGGTTTAAGAGCTGTTGTACATAGGTTTGCTATGAGTCACAAACTACCTGACGACACACAACAACAACAACAACAACAATAGTGTAACCTTGTTCTATTCAGACAACAGCTTCTTGATATAGATCTAGGTTTCACATAAGCACAATTGAGTGTTCTAGAATTTCCCATTCTTCTCAATGGTAGCCACCGTTTGTTATGATCCACATAGTCAAATGCCTTTGCATAGCCAATAAAGTATAAATAGACATTCTTCTGGTATTCTCTGCTTTCAGCCAAGAATTTTTTTTAGAAGATTGAGGAGAGTATGTACTATGTGAAAATTGTAATTACTGCCACAAAAAAACCCAAAAATTCTGGTGGAGGATTAGCTGTGAGTCAGTTCCAAGTCAGCAGCACCTAATAAAACAAAACAAAAATAAAAACAAAACCAAAACAGACAACTAATACCCTTTTCTGTTGCCTTATGTAATTAAAACTTTCACTTAATTTACACATATAATTGTTATTGTCCTTAGGTGCCTTTTAGTCAACTATAACTCATGCTGTTGTTGTTATGTGCTATCAAGTATGACTCATAGCGATCCTATGAACAGCTGACCTGAACTTTACCCTATATTGTGCCATCCTCATCATCTTTGACACAGTAGAGCTCATTGCTTAAGCCATTGTGTCAACCCATCTCAATGGAGGTCTTCTTCTCAGTTGAACTTCCATCTTTTCAAGCATGATGTCCCTTTCCAACTAATAGCCTAATGTGGCTACATGTCCAAAGTATGAGAGATGAAACTTTGCATTCTTTGCCTCCAAGAAGCATTCCGCCTGTACTTTTTCCAAGATACGTCTGTTTGTTCACTTGGCAGTCCACGGGATATTCAGTACTCTAACCCCACAGATCGAAGGTATCAACTCTTCTCCTGTCATATTTATTTATTGTCCAGCTCTCTGGGGTAGAGCAGGTGATTAAGAAGACCATGGCATGAATCAGGTGCACTTAAGTATTCAAACTGGCATCATTGCTTCCCAGCATTTTGGAAAGATACATTTCTCCTGATTTTCTGAGTGCTGGCACCAAGGATATTGATTGTTGATACAAGCAAGATGAAATCATTGACAGCTTCTATCTTTTCTCTATCAATCATAATGTTGACTGTAGGTCCTGTGGTAAGGACCTTTGTTTTCTGGATGTTGAGATGTAATCCACATTGAAGGTTGCATTTCTTTTCTTCTGAAGGAAACATTTCATATCCTCCTCACTTTCAGTGAGCAAGGTTGTGTCATCTGCATAAAACAGCCTGTTGATGAGCCTTCGCTGACTCTGATGCCACATCTTCTTCACAGAGTGCAGCTTCAAAAATTATTTACTCAGCAAACAGATTGAATAAGCATGGAGAAAGATTACAAGCCTGACACACATTCTTATTGATTTTAAATCATGCCGTATTTTTTTTGCTCCATTTGGAAAACAGTTTCAGGATATATGTATGGTTTTCTCATGAAGATACCTAAGTGTTCTGTGATTCCCATTCTTCTCAATGTTAGACATAATTTGTTATGTTTTGTACAGTCAATAAAACACAATTAGATATTCTTCTGGTAATCTCTGCTTTCAGCTAAAATCCATCTGAAATCAGCAATGATATCCCTGGTGCCACACCCACTTCTAAACCTAACTTGAAGTTCTAGCAATTCCCTTCAATGTACTTTTCTAGTTCTTTTATGGATGGTCTTAAGCAATATTTTGTGATGTTAATGATATTGTTTGATAATTTACATATTCCGTTGGGTCACCTTTTTTCTGGAAATGGAGACACATATGGATATATTCCAGTCAGTTGGCCAGCCATCTGCCATCCAAATTTCTTGACATAAACTGTGAGCATATCCAAGGACACATCTGTGAGTTGAAACATGCAATAGGTCCAAGGAATCTCTGGAATTCCAATTTACATGTTTTTCCCAATGCCTTCTGTGCATTCTGAACTTCATTCTTCATTACCATTGGCTTCTGTTCATATGGTCCTTCCTGAAATTTTTTCAGTACCGTCTCACTCTTTTTTAATACAGTGATTCTGAGCATGCTTCTTAGTACAGTGATTTAGTACAGTGATTCTGTCTATCCTTTCCATATTCTTTTGTTCTTTCCTGGATCATTCAATATTTTTTCCATAGTATCTCTCAGTATTGCAACTCAAAGCTTGAATTTGTGTTTTAGTTCTTTCAGCTTGACAAATGCTAAGCAAGTTCTTCCTTTTATTTTCTGATTCCAGCTCCAGCTTTCTCTTCATGAGCAGCCCTTTGAAATTTTTTGTTTAGGTCTTTCACTTTGATATTTCTTCCTTTTGTTTGGGCTTTTCAATACTCGAATACAATTTTCATGGTCTCTTGACATCCATTTTGGCTTTTCTTTCTCCTCCATTTCTGGAAGGACCTTTTGCTTTCTTTATGGATTATATCTTTGATGTTCTTCCAGAATTTTTCTGTTCCTTGATCATAGAGACCCTATAAATAATGGATCTGAACCTTGCCTATCCTGGGCCATCCTTACCATGTCTGATGCACTTAAGCTTAATGGTACAGTCACTGTGTCAATCCATGTTGTTAAGAGTCTTTCTTTTTCACTCACCCTCCACCTTCCCAAGCATAATGTCTTTTTCAAGAACTGTCCCCTCCTAATAACATGCCTAAAGTATGAGACCAAGTTTCACTATTCTTTTCTCTAAGAAGCTCCTTAATTGTGCTTTCTCTGAGATATATTTATCTATACTTTTAGCAATCAATAGGACATTCAGTTTTCTTCATTCACTGTTCTACTCTCAGATGCATAACAAGTAATTGTAAAGACCAAGGCTTGGATTAGGTCTAAATTAATCTTTAAATGGACATCATATCTTTTTAGCACTTTGGTGAGCTCTTTGATCCTTTACAGCAAATTTTCCCAATGCAACACATCTTTTGATTTCTTGACTATTGGTACCAAGGGTGGTAATTGTAGATCCATGTAAGATTAAATTGTTGACAACTTTGATGTTTTTTCCACTATCATGTTGTTGCCTATTGGTCAAGTGGTGAGGATTTTTATTTTCTTTATGTTGAGATGTAATCCATTTTGGACACATCCATCCATAGTCTCTCTTCTGCAGCAAGTGCTCAAGGCCTCCTCACTTCAGCAAGTAAAATTTTGTTATCTGTATAGCACAGGTTGTTGATGAGCTTTTCTCAAATCCTAAGAACACATTCTTCTTCATAGAATCTCACTTCTTGAATTATTTGTTCAGCATACAGAATGAATACATATGTAGAAAGAATACAGCCCTCGTACACATTTTTTCTGATTTAAACCATGTAGTATTCCCTTTCTTTGTTCATATAACAGCTTTTTGGTCTAGGGAAAAGTTTCAAATAAGTACAATTAAGTGTTCTCTCTCATATTATCCTTTATCCCAATTTTGGCTATAATTTGTTATGATCCACACAGTCAAATGCCTTTGATTAGTCAATAAAATACAAACACATATCCTTCTGATCTTCTTTATTTTCAGCCAAGATCCATCTGACACCAACAATGATATCCCTGATGCCACAGTTTCTTCTAAATCCAGCTTGAATTTCTGAAATTCTCTGTCAATATACTGTTCTAGACATTTAAAAATAATCTTTAGCAAGATTTTGTTTGCATGTAATATTAATGATATTATCAGATTACTTTTTTTGGGGGGGAATAGGAAGAAATATGGATCTCTTCCAGTCAGTTGAAAAGGTAGCTATCTGCCAAATATTTAGCATAGACTATTCACACAAACAGGGCTGTATTTGTTTGTTGAAGAGACTTTAAGAATTGTTATAAAGCTTTGAGAGGCCTAGACAGTGAGAAGAAATGCTTAAAAGGTAAAAGAAACAAATAAAAGACTTCCAAGGGAAGCTCGAGAAGACAAAGTAAAATGTGCAAAGAGCAGGAACTCGACAATAAAAAGAGAACTTGCTTGGTATTTATCAAGCATAAGGAGTTGAAAAACAGATTTAAGACTCAAGTTGCAACACCAAAGGATACTCTGGGAAAAATCCTTAATGATGGAAGAAGCATTAAAAGAAGATGAAAAGAATATACAGAGTCACTGTACCAAAAAGTAGGATATGATCAAGTACCAATGGTAATGAAGGAATAAATTCAAGTTGCATTGAAGGCATTGCAAAAATAATACCTTAGAAACTGATGAATACTAAATGACATGTTTCAAAAAATAGTTAAGACATCAAATAGTGATGATAAAGATTTGAAATTTATATTTCCCCTAATACCCTTATATGAATAGTTACTAATTCTGATAATAAGTATGATAAACTAAACCCAAAATAAAAGTAAATCAAAACATTTACATGGTAACAATAATGTTTTGAAATTTTTTCAGTTTCACACATACTTTTATGTCTTTTTATCTATTACAATTATTTGTAAGGATTTGTTCTTATTTATTGTGAATTATACTAACTGACTTTTTTTTTTACTTTTGAATGGTAAACTAACTTTAAATTCTTAAAATAAGAACAAAGTTCAAAGGAGATCACATATAAGTTTCATCAAATATAAGCATGAAGGAGAAGATCTAAATCTTTCTAAGTAACAAACTGAGGACATGCTTAGTGTAAAAACCAACAAAAAATTTTTAATCTAATTAATTTCTAGAAAATGAAAAATAATGCTCATGTCAATTATTACTTATTAGTCATGGTGGGAAATAGCCATTGTCATTATAGTTGTGCTAATATGACATTTTATTGTCTTTACGAAAAGATCACCTTTGGATGACCACACACACTCACCAGTCCAATAAAAATGCAAAAGAGCTGAACAACATCTGTATAAGCCACAGAGTAGACTCCTCCCACCAGAGTGTACAGGATGGCAATGAGGGCAGAGACAATCACAGAAGCATGCACATCCACGTCAATGATCACGCTGATGGTAGCTCCTGGGAAAAGGAAAACATGAGAATACAGAAACATGAGAAAACAGATTCCACTTTCTATTCAGGAATATATCGAAAGTTCATTTCAGTTACAGCAGAATTCTCCATGTCATGTGAAGTAATATTAAGTGAATAAAAGTAGCTAAGATAAATTTTAGTTTGATATTGAAATATATTTAAATTTCTCTAAATTAACATATTTACCTGTTATATTGTTTTGGGAAAGACTCGCTTCTGTAAAGATCACAGCCCTGGAAACTCTATGGGACTGTGTTCCCCTGTTCCATAGGGTTGCACTGAATCAGAGTTCAGAGTCCATTGCACGTTTGCGTAGACAATGAGAGGTAATGGCTATATGTGTATAGTATCTTCTGAATTTAATGCTTTGTCAATTTATGTGGTAGAAATCTCAAAGTTATGGTAAATTTTATTAAATTTTGATAAATTAATTTCAACATGTTCAAAACTCACTGCTGTTGAGAAGGACCTGACTCATAGCTGACCCTACCTCCAGCAGCTTTCAGGAGACTGGAAATCACATTGGAAGGAAGTGCTCACCTTAAAGCTTAAAATGATTTTACTATCTCAAAATATGGGTTAATTATATAGTGTAAAAACTCACACCCATAAGAAAATAGACTCCAAGTAGTACTAAGTGAACTACTTTGAATTGAAAGGTCTATTATTTGAATCCACCATCTGCTCAGGGACAAAAATTTGGCTGTGTGCTTCTGTAAGTGATCATGTACAGCCTTAGAAACAATTTGAATGACTGCTTCTTGGTCCATACCCAGATTCCGCATGAGCACAATCAAGTGTTCTGGAATTCCCATTCTTGTCAGTTATCCATAATTCATTATTATCTTCACAGTCAAATGCCTGTACATAGTCAATAAGACACAAGTAAACATCTTCCTAGTATTCTTTACTTGTCCCAGAGCCTCTTCTGAATCCAGCTTTTTATTTTTGATAGCTCTCTGTTGATGTACTCCTCCAGCTATTTTTTAAACATGATTTTACTTGCATGTGATATAAAATATGTTATCTAATAATTTCTGCATTTCAGTGGATTACTAATTTTAAAAAATCTGTAATGGACACAATTACAGATTCCTTCCAGTCAGTTGTCCAGTCACCAGTCTGTTACAGTTCCAGTCACTAGTCTGTCAGTTTGCTGTATTTTGAATATTTCTATGATGCTGGAAGCTTGGTGGTGTTAAGTGTCACTGAGTCAAGTGTGACTCATAGCCACCCTATGAGTAATATATCTGAACCATGTCCTTCTGTGGGTCATCTTTATCATTCCTGACACATTTAAGCCCAGTATCACAGACATGGCATCAATCCATTTCATTGAAGGTCTTATTTTTCTTTCACTGACATTCCACTTTTCTAAGCATGAGGCCCCTTCCCAAGGATTCACATCTCCTATCAACATGCCCAAAGTATGTGTGGTGAAGCTTTGTTCTCCTTGCCACCAAGAAGCACTCTTGTTGCCCTTTCTCCAAGACATACTGCTCGTTCTTTGACAGTCAATGGGATATTGAGCATTCTTCTCCAACACCACAACTCAAATGCATTGATTCTTCTCCTGTCATCCTTTATGTACTGTCTAGCTCTCAGATACATAGCAGGTGATTGGAAAGACATTGGCCTGACTTAGGCTGTTTTTAGTCTTGAAACTGATCTTTGTACTTCAGGACTTTAGAAAGATCCCTGACAATAGGGTTTCCCAATGCTATACACTTCCTGATCTCTTGACTACTGGTACTAATGGTGTTGATTGTAGATCCAAGCAAGATGAAATCACTAACAACTTCAGTCTTTTCCCTTCTACTATGATGTTGCCTATTGGCCCAGTGGTGAAGATTTTTGTTTTCTTGATGTTGAGATGTAACCCAGATTGCAGGCCTTGGTCTACTGTAGCAAACGCCCCACGTTCTCCTCATTTTCAGCAAGCAAGGCTGTTACCAATATTTCAAATATGGGCAGGATCACCCATTGAGGGCAAATATCTGAAGATTTCAAACTAAGACAAACTAAGAAGCAGGATTTGCCATCCACTTCTTTAAAAAATGGACTCTCAAAAATCCTTTGAATAATGTCCTTCAAATTGGAAGGTACTCAGAACTATAATAGAGAAGATCTGCCTCATCAAAGTAGTCTCTACCTTAATGATGTAGATGGAGTAAAGCTTTCACCCAATGAAAGGCCTTCATTGCTGATGTGAAAAAATGAAGAGAAATAGTAGCCAAAATATATTAACTCCTGGAACATGGATGTACTAAGTATGAAACTAGGAAAATTGAAAGCTGTAAAAACAAAATGGAGCATATAAACAATAACATCCTGATGGCTTAGTGGTAAGGAATTATGTTGCCAACTCAAAGATATGTGGTTCAAATCCATCAGTTGCACTGTGAAAGAAGGATGGATAATCTCCTCCCATCCAATTAGCTGTCTCTGAAAAACCCCCTGGAGACTCAGCTTCAATTCAATTGGACCCAACCACAGACATTAACGAGCTGAGATACATTGTTATCAGTCCATTAGAATTATATGACAGTCACATGTGCCATGCCAGGAATGACAAATTTGAATATTAATGGAGTTGCATTTAACTTCAAAAAGATTTCAAGATCTATTCTGATGCAATGCTTTCAGTGATAGGATAACACCCATATACATATGAGGAAAATTTCTTTATATACACCAAACATTAACCCAAAAGATGGATAAATTGAAGATTTCTATTGACTTGTGCAATATGAAACTGAACATGCAATTACAATGCATTAAAAATAAGTGTTGATTAGAATACAAAAGTTGGAGACAAACAAGGACTAGTAGTTGGAAAATAAGGCCTTGGAACCAGAATTTAGGCTGGAGATTACATGACAGAATTTTGTACAATCAGTAAGGCATTTATTGTAAATACCTTTTCTCAAAAGCACAAATGATGAAAATACACATAAACCTTGCTTGATGAAATACACAGGAATCAGTCTTTGGAAAGAAACATTGAAAAAGCTCAACATCAATAGTTAAAAGAAAGTCAGGATTTAACTTTGCAACAGACAATCAGTTACTCATGCTATTGTTGTTAGCTATTGTTGAGGGCATTAGAACGCATACTGATCCTATGGTCAACAGACTGGAGCTTTTACTTCTTCTGTGCCAGCCTCACAATCTCCCACACTTAAACTCACTGTATCAATATGAAGTTCAAATTGAACCTAAAGACAATTGAAACAAATCTACTAAAGCCACAATATGACCATGAATTCATCTAACCCAAAATTAAAAAAAAAAACAAAACCTCAAGAAAAGATTTGATAGATTGAAAATTAACAATTTAAATAAAACCAGAAAAATTGTAGGATGGCCTCAAGGACTCATCAATGAAGAAAGATCATTAAAACAAAAAGGAAGAAGACACTAAAATGGACATAAGGAGAGACTCTGAAACTCGTTCTTGAATGTAGGAAAGCTAAAGCAAAAGGCAGAAATGATACAAGTGCTGAACAAAAGATTTCAAAGGGCAGCTGAGTAGACAGAACTCAGCATTATAAAGACCTTGGTAAAGACCCAGATTTAAAAAAATTAAAATGAAGAGTGAAGAACACACTTGGCTTTTCTTAAGTTGAAATAAAATGAAACTAAAATTCAAGCATCAAGTTGGAATACTAAATGATGTAGGAAGAATCAAAAGAAGAGGAAAGGAATACATGGTCACTGTATTAAAAATAATTAGTTGACACTAAGGCATTTCAGGAAGTAGTATATGATAAAAACCCAAAGTTTCTGAAGGGAGAAGTCGCTGTACTCAATATATCAGGGGAGGTCAGGGAGCTCCAGGAGTTGAACAGAGTATCAACTGAGGTGTTTTAGCAAACAGGCCAAGCCCTCAAAGTGCTCAGTGGTAGGAAACAAAAGAAGTAGAACATCAGAACTGTAAGTTGTTCAGAAAGAACAGAGAAGTATCCAGACAGAAGAAGTAGTACTAGCAATTATGGGACTTTTTAAAACTAATTGACATCAATTGTCTGAATCTATCATCGATTCTTGGCTGGTATGCTAATAATGCACAAATCTTACCACAAGAGATGAAAATCCATGATCTTAAATGACAATATCAGACATTTTGATCTAAAAAAATAACAAATAATACAAACATAATAAAAGTGCCTTAATAATAAAATTAACTTTGAGGACTAAAAACAAAAACACCCAACTGGTTGAATTTGAGGAAGAAAGTGGATAAATATTTAACAACTGAGTTGGCTTATTGGCCAATTCATGGTTTAAATATTTTTTCAGTTGTTAAATCCAATATTGATTTTATGTAAATCTTAGTTACAGCTACTTGGGAATTTTAAAGCATCTCAGGGACAAATACATTGTGTGAAAGGCCCCACTACAATCACAGTTGCCTTTAAAAAAAAATGGTTTGCTTACAAAATTCGTATACATAGTATTTCACACAATTCTACATTCACATTGTGCTTCAAACAATCATTCTCATGCATTATGTTTTACGATATTCAACACGATTTTGAAAACTACTACACTAACTTGGGAGAGGCTGGAGAACATTATGCTGAGTGGACTAACAGTCTGATAAGGACAAATACTGCCTAAGACCATTATTGTGAACATAGAAGGATAACTAGTAAACAGTTTTAGTTTGCTTGGCTCCACAGTCAACACTCTTGGTACCAGCAGCCAGGAAATCAAGATGAATTGCAGTGGGAAAGTCAGCTGTCAGGGACCTCCCCAGAGTACTGAAAAGCAACAACGTCTGGAGATTTAGGCTGGAGACTAAGGTGAGCCTAATCTGGACCATTGTCTTTGCAATTGTGTGCTATGCATCAGAGAACTGGACAGTGACTAGGGATGATAGAAGGAGAATTGATGCCTTTGACCTGTGGTGTTGGAGTAGAGTGTTGAATATGCCATGGACTGCTAGGAGAACAAACAGGTTTGTCCTGAAGAAGGTGAAT